CCCCTCCACCCCCGAGCTGCACGTACGCCGACAGTACACCCAGTCCTTCAGGTACAGACAACTCAGATTCATTAGCGCACTTATGCACAAAGAGCAATACTCTCAACTAATGAACATTTGAATACACTCAATCATAGATCCCATTTTTCAGGAGTGTTATTGTCCTCAACTCAGATGAGGATGTTGCACTTTTCCTTGTACATGTGATGTTTTGGTGTTGTTTTATTGTTTTGTTTCTTTCCGTTAGCTGTCAAGTGGGAACTAAGTATTTATTTTGTACGTTTTTGTGTTTCTCTTATTTTCCTACAATACTGTTATGATTGGCTGTGAATAAGAAAATATGAAGGACAAACCATCTATTTCTATTTATTTATTTATTTTGAGAAAGGGGCAGGCAATATACGATTGTTTTCTTCTCCCTGCTCCTTTTCGGGTATGGTGTGTTTATAGAGACGTGTTTTATATATAATTGTTATACATTAAGTTGTGCATACCATGAACGGAACAAATAAAAAAATGAAATGAAATATCATATTTTTCTATCTCTTTAATATCATTTCTGTTTCATAACGGAGGCAACTTTTAAGTAACCCACTTTGGCTGGAGATAAACTAAATATCTTTTGAATCTGGAAACAACGTGTGCTATCATTTTACAATTTCTCATGATGTGTCTCCTCAGACTTCCCAAAAAGAAGCTGCCTGCTGACCTGGAGCGTCTGGGCTCAGAGAACAATCGGGGACGAACCAGGCTGCCTCAGCGGCGATGCTTTGCTGACTTCATGGTGCGTACTCCAGAGTATTCGCCCTTACGTCCTTACCATTCCAGCTCGGAGGACAGCAGCTCGGAGCACTCCTCCTCCTCATACATCAGCTCCCCCGGCAGGGAGAAACCCACCGAGATGCCCAAGCTCTGCCCGCCGCCTTACGGGTTCCACTTCGAAGCGCAGAAGAAAGCGATCCCCAACTTCCCCAGCTCACCCAAGAACATCAACCAGTGTCAGCCCAGCCCCGCCTACACCAGGGCCGAGGCTGTCCCCCTCTCCCCTCAGGACCCAGACATTGGACAGAGCTTCCTGTCCCCCCCTCCTCCTCCTCCTGTGGCAGTCAGCCCTCAGCAGATACACTGGCAGGAGGCAGCATTGTCCCAGAGCAGAATCCTAAAGCCCCCTCCGCCGTACACCAGGCTGGTGCGCACGCCCTCGCTGAATGAGTACCCTAACCACGCCGTCCGACTGCTGCCCAGGGACATCGTGTCGGAGGAGTTGAAGTCGTGGCATCAGAGGAATCAGCTGCAGAGGAATCAGCAGAGCCCCCTGAGCGTCAGGAGCCCCACCTCGCCTCATCTGCCTCCATTCAGACAGGTTGGTGCTGATTAATAATAATAATAATAATAATAGCTTAGATTTATATAGCGCCTTTCATGAGACCCAAGGTCGATTATCATTTCAAAATTATATAAATGCTCCTAAGAAACATGTTTGATTGAGTCATCACAGCTGCAGCTAGTCGGTTGATTATTTAATACATTCATATTAATATATTAATCAATGTCCATCTATCTTCTGGAATCAAAGGGTGAACATTTAAAAGTTGTGTTTTTTACTCAAAACTCTATTTTAATAACTAAAGAAAGGGCCTTTTGCAATGTGTTTATTGCTGACGTTGACATTGGGATGATGATTTAAATATTATGCGACACTAATGACATGGAGAAGCAGTAATAGGTATTCCTGTTTGAAAAATGACATATTAGTTGATTTTTAAAATAAAATAGCTGAAAATTGTTCTTCTGGTGAACTCACTTGATGCTAATATGTATACGTACTGAAAGCTTGAGGTGAACACTGATTTCATGACTGTTTCCGCAGGGTTTGGGTCACGTGATTCTGCAGAGGGCCGCAGACGGGACCCCCCTCCAGTGGTTCATTGCGGAGGACGCTGAGATCGTGAGCCAGGTGTAGCGGAGACCTCTCACTCTGCATATCCCTCTCTATTTATCGCTGTATTTATTTGAACTCTCTGTGAGATTGTATGTTGACATGATGCAAAACACGCGGACCTATCGGTACCCAGATGAGTGCATTTCTCTTTTTCACAGTTGTTTTTTTATTTAAAACTTAATGTATGGTGTATTCCAGTTTTATTTATATTAAAACATTTCCTAATAGATATTTCTAAAAGCATTCAGAAGTGAATTAAGGTTCATGCAAACAGATCTAAAAAGCATTTGCTGTGGTTTCAAGAATTTCTTTGTGTCTGGCACACATTTTGCACATGAAATTCATTCACACTAGTTTTCAAATACATTTCCAAATCTTAATATAATGTTTTATTCTTTATTTATCTGTTACTAAGAGTTTCCCCCATGCAACAAATAGATTTATTAACAAAATGCTGATATGAATTTGAACATGCATCTCTCTTTTTTAAAAGTTAAATATAGTTAAAGTTTAACATCTAACCATGACGTTAGAACTTAACGTTTGCTATTAACTTTTGAGTATTAATCACTGATGCCTTAAACAGTGGTTTGATGAATGTTTTCACTGCAGTTTGGTGTTTTCTTACTAACCGAGTGATTGTATCAGTTTTGATATGTTTTGTATATTTATAATAAACAGCTTAAAGTTACATGTGTGGCTTTGTGACCTAGAAGGTGAATTATCAGAGAGTATTTCAAGGGGAAAATTCACTTTTTCCTGTATTTTATACATAAACATGTGTCCCCTCTGTGTAAAGAGATTCTGAAAGTTTCAGAAAAAAAGATTCTCTCTTTTTGTCCTGATCCATTTATATAAAAACCTGTCTGAAAATGAGCTGATCAGACTTTGGCCACTTTATGATGTCATAACGATTTTTTGGGTTGTGTAACCATTAGCCAATCACTAACCAAGGTAACCCCCGGCAACCTTATCACCTGAATTTCATCTAGAGCACCATTGTGTTCTTTTTAACCAAATATCTCGCAGAGGGGCGTGGGGAGGGGCTCCTTATTTTCATCTAAAGTAACAGACCCAGAATCAGCACTTTTGAAACAGGGCTGAAACAGAGGGGATTATGGGATGCTACAATGAACTGTTTGGCATTTCTAGGCCAAACATTTCAGAGACATGTTTTGTATATATCTGAGACCTATAATATATTGATAAAAAACAGTATAATAGGGGACCTTTAAAACCAAAAATATATTTTATACCTTCATACAAAGGCTGATACAGGTTTTTCAGCTCTACACCCTCTACCCACAGTTACACAGCGTCCTCATTATGATATTCATGGCTGTGGTGCTTCATCAAGATTCTTCCACAATATGTAAGTGAGTGTAACGACACTGAGGAGCACGAACAGGTACATGCAGCAGAGCGCCCAGCGGCAGCGGTACAGCCAGAGAGCCAGAGGGTTTTTCCTCCACACAGACGCACACCTGGAGAGAGCAGGCCGTCAGTGTCCATCCAGAGAACATACCCTCCAGTCGCTTTTAAAACACATGTTGACTTACGTGCTGATGGAGAGCTGTCGGTAAACATTAGTCTTCTTTTTATCCTTGTCGGCCTTTTTCTTTGATAATGCAGCTTTGCCCTTGTGTCGCTGTCGTAAGGTGTCCAGAGGGGAACTGTAACAAAGACAGTGACATAACGTTGTTTCAGTTCACTGCGGATGAAATGTTTCAGAGTACAAACACAACAGAAGAAATATACTCTTTACTTATTTTGTTTTTAAGCTGTAGTTACTATTTGTGTTAAATATAAGTCTCTTAGTCACAGTTCCCTTCATTCCCAGGCCAACAGAGCATTAAGAGTAAAATCCATAATAAAATGTATTTGAAAAACAATACAAGTGAATTCACATTGATGATACTAAATGTGATTTAGTATATATGCACCATAATGCTGTATAGAATATTAAATATATATTTGAATTAATTACAAAATGTTTTTCTTTAAGAAAGAGCCTCAAAGTTGAGTTAAAAGGAATAGCATCCTCAGTGACATTGTCGCCTATAATTCTTTGCTTTAGTGGTGCATATTACCAGGAGAATATGTAATTTATCAAATTAAATGCAACAAGTAACTGTTGCAGTTTTGTCATAACTGTCTGATAAATTCCTACAACTATAATTCTTGATGGTTTGTTTGTGAACTGTCATGATGTTTGAGATTTAGAGACGTTAGCTTAAAATGATTTTGCAAGTTTGTGACTGAAGCACCAACAAGTCAAACAGCAAATGTCTGTTCTCTCGGTGAGTTGTTTAATTTGGCAAAAAATGAAATAATTAGCTTGGACTTTCATAAATTCAAGCATTTAATTAAATATTAGAACTTGTAATATTACTCTTGCAAAAGTGCAGTTCTCATTCGTAACACTCCGTTCGATGTCTCACTATGGGATGCGCCTCATCCGTGGAGCAAACAGAAGCATCAATCTCATTACGCCAATCCTGATTGGCAGGTGATTTTGACGTCAGTGCCAGGGAATCCACCCCCTATAAGTAGCTTGCGCTACGACGCATGCGTCATTCAAACACCTCTTCTCGCTTCAGAGCACATCTCTACATTGGTAGCCTGGCTAGCTCACACAGTCCACAGATGGAACCAAGCTAACAAAGCTAACTTCGGTCGACGGGCGCTCGCCGGCTACTTTTATATATACTTCTGCAAGAAGACTGTCGGTGCTAACATACCAGTTAGTACCACACTCGACCTCACCTTTTTTCTTTTTTCTTCGGAAATCGAAAAGGTAAGGTTTTGATTCAAGCTAGCAGCACACCTGTTGCTAGCTTACCTTCCTCGCTACCGACACCACGATAGCGAGGACGCTTTTTTCTTTCTTCTCACACCAGAGAAGAATAGGACTAAGAAAGAATATTAACACACCAGTTAATATTCTTCGGGAATAAATCCTACACCGTCGTCTTTTCTCCGGATTAACGACAGGTTGGAGAGGATTTTTTTCTCGACAACGCACCTGCTACGAGCGCGTCCTTCCCACGTCGCCATAATGGCGAACAAGATGGACACGTCTCTCCCTCACACCAGAGGAGCCAGGGAATCGGAGGCT